GGAGTTCGAATCTCCGAGGAAGCAATTCTTTTTAGGTTTATTACTTAACTCCTTTCATATATTACTAAACATTTTCTCTTCTTTTTTCTTTTTTCAATCTTCGCCCATTTTTCCGCTAACATTTCAATCTTAACTTCTTTTTTTTAGTTTATTTTTTCACTTTTTGAATTTCCTATATCTCATTTATTACAACAAAAAACTTAAGTTCTTAAAAACTCCAGAGTGTAAATATTTGTAGTTGTCAACATGCAATGATATGATACAATTATTCATATCTTCAAAATATGAAAGTTCGTCGAGAATCGTACTACTAGAAGTTTTTTTTTTTTTAAATATTAATATTAATCGTAGTTTGCTCGGTAACTTATGACTAGAAATCTTATTTCTAATAATAAGCCTTTTATTTTCACGATAATTAAAATAATTGTACATTTATATTAAAAAGTGAGCACCCATGATCTTAAAATCCTGGATCCGCCACTGGGTCCACTTGCTTGTGAGAGAAAAAGATACCACACGAATTGTTAGTGGTGTGTGAGACACAAAATAAATGTTTTCGTTTTAAATCAAACATACACCAAAAAATAATAATATTTGTTTCAAAAATTAGTTTTGCGTAAATCAATAATTGGATTTTTATCCTTTTTTTTGTGATTGAATTATTAGAAGGAATCATTTATATTACAATTACATCAGCGTAGATAAGAGAGACCCCAGGAATTGACAGTACATGAGTAGTACAATTCAAGTGCAGTAATTAAGAGGAGACCAACCATACCACATGGGATTCTTTCATCTAATATAAATATACGATCAGTTGATTATTTACATTAACTTTCATTTTTTTTATGGTGAGATTATTCTCATCTTGTAATTCCTTCTTCTTATTTTCCCTTTCCGTACCCTCAATTTCTTTTTTAAGAAGTACTCTATTTACAAAGGGTTCAATTAAAAAAAAAAAAAAAATTTAATAAAAAATTGTAACTTGAAATATGACATTATTAACATGTGTATAATTATAAAAACTTTTTAATTAAAGGTAAAATGTGAAACATATTTAATTACTTTTTCAAAATTTAAAAATATGTCTCTTTTTAACCAATTAAGAAAGAAAAGTGTATCACAAAAGAAATAACGCAAAAAGGTACTCTCCCCATCTTAATGTATGTGATAGTCTTTGAGAGTCAAACACGTTTTTCTTTTATCAAAATATGTTATTTATATATTTTAAATTGTTATTATTACGACTTAAAATACTTATCTAAATTCATAGAAGTTTAACGCTTGAAATTGAAATGATGTCACATAAATTGAGATAACGGTGAATTTAAAGTAAGGGTTGGATATCTTGTTAAGCAAGTATAAACGTCAGAGTGATCAGATTATGTACTGACTCACAAATAACGTTTAGCACACGAGCATCATTGACGCAGACAGACACTTGACTCTATGATTCCTCTTGTCAACTACTACACAACAAAATTAATCTATATTTCCACTTTGGTCTACCTATTTCTCATGTCATTCTCTAGCATCATCTTTACATAATAAAAAAAAACAAATAATACTGTCGTTTGAAGTGAGGGATAAAATTTTGGTGTTTTGTTTGATTGTCAAGTTTGAGATAATTTATCTCACTTAGTTATATCATAGTGATGAGATAAATTATTATATACACATAGTGTGATACCTTATTTCAGAATACCTAATTCTATGATAATTAATACTGAGATAACTTGTTTCCAACTAAATGATCCCTAAATTAATAAGGAAATAAAGAAATCATCTAATAAGTGAATTTTATTTTCCTATATATATACAATATACTTGTATACGTGAAAAAGATATGTACGTTTAATTGAATAGTGGAGCTAGTTGCACTTTAAATTGACCCGTTGCTATCAAAGAAAAAGATGAACCATGAAATTGTTTACATTTAAAAGTTACCTAAAGCATCCACATTGGTAAGAATACTACTCCTATGACATTTTTTTCTTATTAATTACAAATTTATAGAAATGGGATGACATATTATATTTGAATTTTTTAAATTTAGACTTTATATTTAAACTTAATGACATATTTTTATAACAATAAAAATGTAACGATATATTTAATTAAGACAAAATATTTTAAGAAAAATCGTGATTAGAAAAATTGTATTCTTTTGGGAGTCTGGTGATTGTTATCCGGTTTAACTCCTCCAAACTAAAATCCATGGATGTGACCTAGTAATCAATAAAGTGGATAGAAAACCATGAGGTCTCGGGTTCTAATTCCAACTTAAACAAAAATATTATGTGATTTTTTTCCGTGTCTTGGCGAAACCCAGAATTTGAAGATAACAAGTGCACCACCAACAATTATTGCACGTTAGTTAATAAGCATGAAAACTCAAATATTTTAGAATCCACTATTGTGTCTCAATCTTAATGAACAAAGTTACTTAACGCCAATACTTTATTTTTTTAAAAAGAACTCACAACTAATATCCTAGGGCGTGATAGCGTTTCAAAGTAGATAATGATTTTGTAGTAAGTACAAAGAAGTGGTAGTAAACTGTGGTGTCAGAGGTGAGATATATAGTGAAGATCACTAAATAAAGAGTAAGTATTAGTAAATGCATATTATGTTGTTTCTTACGATAGGTTTATTTTGGTGAAAGATCCACTCTTTCCCACTGCCTTAGCTTACCAGTCTACCAATGCTACATCAATCACATGGCGGAGCCATTACCTCACGGGTGCCTATATAAACGTGTATATATTTTTTAAAAAGTACTATCTCATCGGTCTCATTTTATTTTACGTGAGTTAGTTTGATTTGACACAAAGTTTAAGAAAGAAAGAAAGATTTTTGAAATTTATGATCTAAAAGCCAATAATTTTGTGTTAAAATATAAAGAAAAATGACCTAAATACACAATTTATTTTACTATGTTCTCTAAAATTTCTACTCTGTCCTATTCTCGGATATATCACTCTTAGACGATATATCAGAACGCGATGTATCGGGACAAGTGTGTCTTGTATCAACAAAAGTAAAATATCAAAATACAATGTATCGGTACATTGAGCGATGTATCGAGACATGTGTGTCTTTCATCAACAAATTAAAAGTAATGTATTGGAAAGTGATATATCAGACATTGAGTGATGTATCCAAAATCGAAACACGATGTATCGGAATGTTGAATAGTGTATCCAAAATCGAAACGCAATGTATCAAAACGTTGAGTGATGTATCTGAAGTCAAGATGCGTTGTATCAGAACGTTGAGTGATGTATCTGAAGTCAAGATGCGTTGTATCAGAACGTTGAGTGATGTATCTGAAGTCAAGATGCGTTGTATCAGAACGTTGAGTGATGTATCTGAAGTCAAGATGCGTTGTATCAGAACGTTGAGTGATGTATCTGAAGTCAAGATGCGTTGTATCAGAACGTTGAGTGATGTATCTGAAGTCAAGATGCGTTGTATCAGAACGTTGAGTGATGTATCTGAAGTCAAGATGCGTTGTATCAGAACGTTGAGTGATGTATCTGAAGTCAAGATGCGTTGTATCAGAACGTTGAGTGATGTATCTGAAGTCAAGATGCGTTGTATCAGAACGTTGAGTGATGTATCTGAAGTCAAGATGCGTTGTATCAGAACGTTGAGTGATGTATCTGAAGTCAAGATGCGTTGTATCAGAACGTTGAGTGATGTATCTGAAGTCAAGATGCGTTGTATCAGAACGTTGAGTGATGTATCTGAAGTCAAGATGCGTTGTATCGGAACGTTGAGTAATATATCAAAAATCCTTAAATTTTAAGCAATTTTTATAAAAAAATTTAAAATAGAGATACGGTGTAATTAGCCTCTTAACACTATGAAATTTATGTAAAATTATCTAAATAAAAATTCATTCCACATGGTCGGAAAGTTCATATCGTTTCACTCTTCAAGCTCCACCCCCTTTCTCAACTTCTAAGTTTTGGCCTGCCACATATTATTATTTACCACCACTCATTAAATTAGTGAAGAGTTTGTTGCCTGAAAACAAGTTACCATAGTTGGCCAATTGGTTCAAACACCTTTTCAGCAACTCTCTCTTTTTGGGCTTTCGACATGGATTATTGTGGGCTTTTAAACACAATTCAATTGGGTATCTAGACTTGGACGTCACAAAATTGGACTCCTTCATGCCATAGACCAAAGCCCACATGACTAAATGTTAAGTGGATCGCTTGCATGCACCTCTACTTTATTTTTTTGGCAAATTGTAGAAATCACATACTTTTAAGGCAAAATTACAATCTATCCCTTAAAAATTTATAATTACAGAAATCCCTCAAAACACATACAATAATATAAGCGCTGATACATTAATCTGATGTGCGAGATACATTAATCATTAAGTAAGATACATTACATTTTATAGAGGATACACTAATCTGATGTACATTTTATACATGATACACTATCTAATGCACGAGATACACTAATCTGATGCGCGAGATATACTAATCTGATGTACATTTTATACATGCTACATTATGTGATGCGCGAGATATACTAATTTGATACGCGAAAATAAGAGATTTTGAAGATTTGTAAAACTTATAGAAAATAATGATAATAAGTAAACTAAAATGTGAGATTTCTGCAAAAATAAAAATAAAAATTTGAATTACAATAATGAAAATCGAACACTTATAGTCTAACAGAATAAAATGAAAGTTCAGATAACTAACCACCAAAACCGCTTTTATTCATTCTTGTTGGCAGTTGTCTCCATAATTTACATTTCCTCATATGCCATAACCCAACTAAAGTTGGTAGTCTTATTAGCAGCACACAACTAAGCCACTACTACTTATTTATAATCACTCACTTATTAACCATTTACATGATAGGAAGTAGTAGCAACATTACTAGTGCAAAAACTACAACATTGTTGTCACCATCTCTTGTAGCCAACATAAACCCGCATTGGAGTCGAATCAGCCACAGCCCGCCATTCATGCAGCGGCTCGGCCACTCTGTCGACCACCAGGTCCCTGGAAGAAGAACTCCTCCTGTTGGCTCTGGAATATTTGCTCCACCTCTCTTGCTGGTAGCCCGAAACCCAACTCCAGTGCTTCCCTCTCCAGTTGACTCATCACATTGTTCCTCCCTAACAAATACAAATGAGATGAATAATTTTGACTCAACTCATAAGAAATGGACTCTGTGTCAAATTAAAATCAGAAACAAATATGTATTGATATGAAGGGAGTATCATTACATATATATTTGGTCAATTATATCATTTAACATATTTATAATGATACTTTACTCAATGTGTTACCTTACCTTGTGTGTGAAAATCAACCTGATGGTAAGATCAATTACAGTGAATATAAATAGTGAGTTATCTAAAATTACTTGTTACCGCGCAAGTTAATCAAATATAATATGTTTGTAACCGAAACCCACCGAGTTAAATTCTTATGCATAAAATCACCTGCAAGAGGGACAATTTCGTTGTTGCGGGCATTGACGTTGAAGCCAACGATTTGCAAATTCTGATTGGTGGAAGCTACAGCGACGAACGGATGGCCAGCAGGGATGACCAGCACCATCCCACGCCTCAACTTTGAACTCACCTTTTGGTAACGTCCAATTCTCGTTTCCGTTTCTTTGCTTCCTTGGCGTTTACCCGACTCGGACTCGGACGCCAAGTGAGGGCATGCCATCTCAAAGTAACCTTCACCCTCCACCACTACTGCTATCTTTGTTGCCCTTGAGCTGTAAATTGGACCTAACATGCCACCCTATGTATACAAATTGAACAAGCAGAGGAAGAATTGTCAGCTTGCATGCCGAGTAGTAATCAACTATATATATGGAAAAAATTAATCTCCGGGAAGTAACTATCAAAAAGAGAATCAAAATAAGTAAAACCTAAAAATACAACAAATAACTTTGATAGTGTAAAAGTGGTAATATATATTTAATCATAATCGGTACTATATTCTCAAATTTTGAGTGTGCATAAATAGACACTTAAACTTGTATAAAATTGAACAGAACTAGTAAAACACGTGTTATATTTGGTATAATTTGCTCACCTCGGTGATGTTGGCGAAATTGAGGGAAATATCAAGGTCCTCCAGTTGCTTGTAGGTGCTATCATCTACTTGATAGAATTGTCCGTACTGGTTGGATTGCAATGGCCGTTGCTTATAAATATTGACGGAGCCCTTTGATTCTCCTCCAAAAGGCCAAATTCCGCCTTCTTCGTGCTGGCTCATTACCCTGATTTGCTCTTCTGAAGCTCTTATTATCACACCTTCCCTTGGCTGCCCGAACAGCCTCTGCAATCTATCCTTCCTAGTCTGTTTCAACAAAATATTATCCAATAATTAACAAATACAAATAGTCGAAACATACCAAAATAATACCGATTTGAACGTATATTCCTAAATCAAACTACTCATTATGTTGTAATTGATGTCTACACTACTTTCCATTTTTCGATATCTTCAAATGTATGTCTTCATCCATCGTATCACTTATAGTACTTTTCATATAGTTATTAAATATTTAAATTTAAATTTTAAAATATTAAATTAATTCAATCCAATTTAAATTAGACTCTCCTAGCTTCAAATCGACTCCCGAAGTGTGAAAAATGATAGTACATTAATCGGAATGAGGGGAGTACGTATATATCTGAATGAAAAATTAGCTCACATTGAGTGCGGCTTCAAGTATGTCCGAGCTAAAGGCGCTATAAAAAGATTGTGGATTTTCTCGTCCTCCTGGCCCAAAGAAGTGCTGCATGCATCAAACGAATAGACATTATTCACGGTGTCTAGTGGAAGAATTGAATACTTCATCTTAAGCACTCAATAATTTGGAGAGTTGGGTACCTCAAATTGTCCGGGAGTGGAGACGGGGCGGAGAAGCTTGGCTATGAGAAGTTTTTCATTATCGTCCCTGTTGATCAAGTAAGCAGTTGTTCCAGCACAAACCTTGATAACATCCCCACGTCCAATATTGAAGCTATTCCTCTTCCCCTTACGAACCAAGCTCAACGTTCCTCTCCCTGCACAATGTTACTAATTTATATATAATCTAATAATGGATGAAAGACTTAGTAATTCATGTGGTTTAAAACAAATCATATTTGGAATTCATATTATTTCTAATTCAAAATCATAGCGTAGTGCAAATCCTTCCTATTCTAGCCCTGTTCGATCATGTAATAAAACAAAAAAATTGCTTTTATTCCAATTAGTTCTTATTATTGTGAAGGAAAAAAGTTACCCCACTATATGTAGGGCGAACCCAGAGTTTGAACTCCGAGTTCTGTTCAAACTCTAGAGGTCCAACACGAACTCCAAATTTGCAGGAAAAATTCACTAAATATGTATAGCTCAAAATTTTTAACCCATTAAATTTCAAATTCTTACTTCATCCCTACGGAGCAGAGTTTCTTCCTCTGTGGTCAGAGGGTTAAGAGTCATAGCCAAATAGTATATTCGATCGGTTTAAATGAGCTTATAAAAAGTAACTTATAAGTCAAAAATAAAAATCATAAGTAGATGTAATCCTATTTTTGACTTTTGACTTATTTTAAAACTTTGTTTCCTCAGTGGTCAAAGGATTGACTTTGGAGTCGAGACATATCGTATATTCGACTTATTTGAATGAGCTTATAAAAAGTAACTTATAAGTTAAAAATTTAAGTCAAAACTTTGCTTCCTCAGTGGTCAGAGGATTGACTTTGGAGTCAAGACATATAGTATATTCGACTTGTTTGAATGAGCTTATAAAAAGTAACTTATAAGTTAAAAATAAAAATCATAAGTAGATGTAATCCTATTTTTGACTTTTGACTTATTTTAAAACTTTGTTTCCTCAGTGGTCAAAGGATTGACTTTGGAGTCGAGACATATCGTATATTCGACTTATTTGAATGAGCTTATAAAAAGTAACTTATAAGTCAAAAATAAAAATCATAAGTAGATGTAATCCTATTTTTGACTTTTGACTTATTTTAAAACTTTGTTTCCTCAGTGGTCAAAGGATTGACTTTGGAGTCGAGACATATCGTATATTCGACTTATTTGAATGAGCTTATAAAAAGTAACTTATAAGTCAAAAATAAAAATCATAAGTAGATGTAATCCTATTTTTGACTTTTGACTTATTTTAAAACTTTGTTTCCTCAGTGGTCAAAGGATTGACTTTGGAGTCGAGACATATCGTATATTCGACTTATTTGAATGAGCTTATAAAAAGTAACTTATAAGTTAAAACTTTAAGTATATTCTTTGTGACTTCTGACTTATATGACTTATTTTAAAACTTTTAAAAGTGGATACTTGCAACATTTTATAACCTTTCCAAAAAGGTCCAAAACTGAAAGTCATATGAACACCTAAATAATAAGTTAATTCAACGAGCGACAAGTCTATTCTAATATCATTGTTCGAATTTTTTCTAATAAAATAAAATAAAATATTTAAAATTAAATTATTAATGTACCAATTATAATTAAGTTTGTTTGGTCAAAACTCCGACTCCACTTAATATATGTACCATCTATCCCTGTTAGATCCCTCCGTTTCATATTAGTTGATTATTTTTCTTTTTATTAAATATTAAAAAATCATAAGCAAAAAACTAATTCCACTAATTCCCCTTTCAAAACTTTTTAAAAACAAATATGAACACTTTTTAATTGCAAGGATAATATAAGAAAAGTTTAATTAATGCTTTAATAAGATAGACAGCTAATTAATATGGAACAATTACCTTTTAATAAAATGATCATATCTATCATATTATGAATTCAATTAATACTTTTAGATTGACTTAAAAAAAAGTACCTTAAAAGGTAAAAAATAAAAAATCAACTTAAATGACTTTTTAAGTCAAAAAATAAAAAAAAATAGACCTATTTTTAATTTTTAGCTTTTCTAAAGTCATTTTAAATTATTTTTAACTTTATCAAACACTTTCAAAAGCTAAAAATGACTTTTAAGCCAATCCAAACATATTTTTAGTAAGGTAGACAATTAATATGAAACAACTAATAATTATTGTTTAGTAAGATCATCAATGAAAGGAAGGGAACAAGTTTATTTGATCAAACTCAAATAATTTATTAAGAATCTAATTAGTATATTTACCCTAACATTTAAATGAACAAACACAGAGCCTCTACCTCTAGATGGTACCCAACATAAGAAATGTCCGACTAAATCGAAATGATAATTACTTGGTGTTAAAAATTTACCAATCAACATAATATTTTAAGTAGTTATAGACATAATTTTAAACAATTGTATAGTCTAAAAATAGACACAAATTAAAGAATTATATTATACCTTGAGCAACAAACAAGACAGCATCAGCATCCCAATGGTTAGGAACAACAAAGGTCTTTGGATTTGCTTCAAGAATTGCAAAACGATAATTCTCAATCCCTTTAAGCAACTTAGACCTCTCACTAAACTTAGGAAGAACACGAATTCGACCATGTTCAGTCTTAATTCCCGTAATAAAATGCTCTTCGTTAAATACATAAGGATTATTTTTCCCCTCTTCTCTTCCTTCATAGAAATTAATTTCTTCTTTTTCCTGTTTCTCACCATGATACAATTTCTCACATATTTCATAACATTTTTCCCTTTGATATTCTTCTATTTGTTGTAACACCTTGCATTGATGCTTACATTGTTTTAGGTCCGATTCTTTGGTACCAAAAGCTACAACCACTAAGCAAAATAAAAAAGGTAATACTTTTGATCTTAACATCATTTTTTTGTAATATTTTTTTTCTATGTAATATGAATAGGGATTATTATATCTAGTGTAATGTTTGAAGAAGATAGAGATGAAAATTTTGATAGAAAGACATGCATGAAGACGGGTGTCAAATTGGGTACAACTTACGTGGTAATAGAAGATGTGATTTATTGCCGCGTAACGCAACAAGTGAGAAAGGAGGAGAACAAATATTGCCTATTTTTTTTCATTTGATGTCCAATATATTGATATATGACTATTTTAAATTTCTATCGTATATAATTTTATTTAAAGGAAAAAATACTTTCTATTTAAAAAAATTTATACCTAAATTTAAAAATTTTAGTTAAGAAAAAAGTAACCACATCTATCAATAATATATTGTCTCTTTAAGTTTATATGGGTGGAATATTTTTTTATTTTAACATGTAATATTTCTCAAAATATCATATGCATATGAGAGAGTATCTTATAATAATGATTTTGAACTTTCTATTAATGCAAGGACTTTAAAGTTCTGATGAAATAATTGGTATCTTAAAAGATATGAACTATAATTTTTTGTATCAAAATCGAAAATATCACATACATAATATTATTTATAGCTTAGAAACCTCAGTATTTATTTTAGCACGTTTATATATTGTCATGTGCTCATCTTGATTTCATGATATTTACAAGACCAACCCTTTAGATCTTTCTTGAAGCGATACCACTTCAATATACATATAGGTGAAATTAATTTGCTTCTATGTCCCTGTTATTGTAGACATTTACTAATTTCATTAAGAATTAATTTAACTTTCATGTAACAGTCTACACTATGGAGTTTGTTACTATGCCCCTGTTATTTCAAGCATATGACAACTCCTTAACTTTTCACGTAACAACATGCAGTACACTTGAATCAAGGCTCTAAAAAGAAGACTCGTGTTTTAGCAACACAAAGTAGCTTCTTATATATTACCCGTTGAACCTGTATTATTAGAGTGTATACTAACTCAAAGTTGAGTTCCCATCACTTGTGTTTAGTTTAAGGATTTTAGCCTTAATCATTCACACATTTATTATATTACCTACATCTTTTAAAAATAAATTTTACAAGATTAATATAAATTATAAACAAATCTTTTACTTAGGCATATCATAGATATCAATTATCATCAGTATTTGAATAGCTTAGAATGGTTACATCAGTTGCGACCACAACATTTCAAAATCATATTTTGTAACCATTTCATTTCATTTCATTTCTTTTCAAGCATTTATACGCTAAGTATATTCTTATTCCACTATGTAATTCAAGCCTATTTTGGTGCAAAATTTATGGTACCTTCATACTTGTTACAAATCCAACTTAAATGAATTTTATCATTATCATTAGAAGATTTACTATTTATAGATCAACACACCAATTCATATATGTATCAATGATCATGTCTATACAAAAAGTTATCTTACAACAAATACTCTTTTTTTCATGAAAAGTCGTAGCATTTCAAATGGTACTACTTCACGAAATTACACAATATTTCTATCAAAGCTTATAGCCTTATTGTCACATTAGTAGTGTAATCAACTAGCTATTGCTAAAATTGTCAAGTTATAAATATAGCCACCATATCAAATACATCAAAGATATATCTTGTAGGTAATGAAGAAATAATTTATATATTAAACTTCTTCAAATATTATTAATTATTAATTATAATCCAATCACCCCACACTTTAAATGCTTCAAACATCCTTTTGTAACTCGTCAATTAACATCAATAAATCATTTTTTGTCAAGTTTATTGCGTTCCAATACTATAATACATTTGCATTCAATAAGAATACAAACTATTCAACCTTTAAAGAACGCAAAATGATCTAACAAAAATGATCATTTCTCTTCATATCAAATTATTCTAATAACTTACAAGTATATATATTATCCATCAAAATAAAGGAATTCATATATATCATCCCATAACATGAAATTAAAATTCACATGATCTTTATGCAACACAATTATATTGTAATGATTTTCTTTGGCTCAAATAACAAATTTATAATAAGTATATCAAATGTCTTATTTCAAAACTTATTTAAAATACATTTCAAGATCATTACAAGTGAATTATTTATTCTAACATTATGAAAAATCATTTCTCAAAATTTCAAAGGATAAATAATAAGAGAAGTTAAGAAAGCAGAACCCAATATATATCATTTCCTTCGCGATCCATTGTTGATTCACTTTTGCATATGACTTGGTGCATTAGAATCCTACTTTAGATCACTCAAATATTTTTTTTCTTATTGCCTCACATCCTCAAGAATTCAAAGATTTCGTCTCGTTTATCTTCTTCAAACCCAATATTTCTTTAAAATAGTTAGAAAAATAATAGTACGAAATATAAAAGAAAAAGATGACTTTGAGGCGTGTAATCACTTTCTTTAAAGAGATATTGGCCAATATACATATTAGGGTAAATAAAAATAATTCTCTTCAAAGATACAATAAAGTCTTTTGTTTATACATGCAGATTTTTCTTCGGCTACTTCTAGAGAGTCTTTATATTTTATAGGACTTAAGAGATGACTCTTCATAAAACTCATGTTCTTTCATGAACATATGACTTTTCATAAGAGTCGTGGTCTTTCATGAACAAATGAGTTTTATTAGCAGTTATGTTCTTTCACGAACAAATGTGTCTATTCAATTTAAGACTATATATTATAAAATATCCAACATATTGCACTAAACTATTGAGTAGTAATTCAAATATGAAATTCAAAAAATTAAATAATTTAGATGTATTTTTGACCTTAATTGTATAAAAAGTAAATATTCTTAAAACTTGTTCGTACAAGGAGACATGTTTTTTCAGACTTTTCATGTGTAGACAAAGCCATTGTTGACACCCAATTTTGGACCTTCATAATATAGATTAATAATCAAGCTTCTTAAATTTCAAACGATTTGAAATAATTAGTTTTTATAAAGTTCAAAATATTTTTTCAAGTTACTTTTATTTACTTTTTTTTTTATTTCTATGATTTTTAAGTAATATATATGTTTTACATAATTATGTATATAATTAGTATATTTTATGATTATTTGAAAATCATCTCAAAAGATTTTACGTTTTAGTGGAATATTTTATTAATTTAATTTAGCTTAAATTATGGTTATAATTTTAAATTAACTATTTTATAATAAAATTAATTATTTCATATTGTTAAAATTAAGAAGCTCGTTAGTTAATTATATTAATTCATCTCATTTAATTTTAGCCGATTTCACCAATTAAATTCAAATTGGCTAAGTTTTAAACTGAAATTGATTAAGTTTGCAATCTAATTGGTCATTTGCCTAATTCAAATCCAACCATCTCTTTCCCACTTCTTGGACCCTCTTTAGGCCAAATTTGGGCCAATTCCTTTCCAACAGCCCACTTCTCAAACTAAGAAAACCCAATACATACAAAACCCAAGCCCAATTCTTTAATATCCAACAATACAATAACACACACAAAACACCAATACCCAACCGATTAGCAGCCCAAATTCCAGCAATACCAACGACCTCATTGTTTCTTCTTCTTTTTTCACGCGAAAGCTCGACCAGCGAACCTAGAAAAATCCAAAAAATTGAAACCCATTCCAACAGCCCAACGAATTCCAGCGAACCCGAAGCCCAGCGACCTCGCGCGTGATCATCCAAATGTCTCCTCCTCCTTGCTTCGATCGTCCTTGTCACGAAATCAACGTTCCTCCTTTGAATTCCGTTGAGAATTGGTACTATTGACAGCTCAAAAGGGAGAATGGAAATTTCGAATTTCAAATCACAATAAAATCCCTCCCGATTTTCCCCTTTTTTTCAGCCTTAATCTCTCCTATAAAACCCTCCCTTTCAAGTTGTTTAAGGGGGATTTTTTTTTTTGGAGGAATAGAAAATTTACATATTACATAGAAGATACATAATTTACATACAAAAATACATGGGGATATAGAAGCTAAACGAATAAGTTCTCTTTTCTTCCCGTTCGTTGTTTGTCGGAATTTGTTGGAACTCTGGAAACTCTCGTGTGGTGGTAATACAACTCGTCTCAACTCGGTTCTTCTCAGTTCGCTGCCTGAAAAAAGGTAACATTTTCTGCCATAATTTTCTTTCCGTCTTCTTCTATTTCTGATGTGCCTCACTACTGTATCGTTGCGTCACTGCTATTTGTAGCTGCAGATAGGTGGTTTTAATATGTTATATATCTTGTTCTTGAATGACTCGATTAAGGTTTTTATTGTTTCGTATCTAGAGTTGTGGTTTCCTTGATTCTTGATTTGAGTTTGCTTGGTTATCTTCCTGCTTGTATGTTTGTTTGAATACTGCTGAATCTCTATTCTCTTGTTTTCCTTGTTCCTTAAATTTTGAAAATTCTATTTGCTTTTATTACTGTCAGTGTTGTTTTTTTTTTAAAAAAAAAAAATAAGGCAGAATTTGGAAAATTGGTTGATATTGAGGTGGTATGTTGGAGTTGTTCATAGTTTGTTGGAGACAGTAGCAAATTAAAATTCGATTGAGCTGTTGTGTGCTCGTTTTGACCCATGTTTCTTCTTGTTTTAAGCTCATTCAATGATCATTAATGAAGTCTTGTTATATTTTCTTGTCATTCGTTTGGAACACTATTTCCTCGCATATTTCTTCATATTTAAAATCTGGAAAGCGTGAGTGTGTCAAATATGTAGTTCTCACATAATTGTTGTTTGAGTAAAGTGAGCTGGCAATTGCTTGAATGTTTGATTTGTTGTCTTATTGGCTTAACTAGCTTCTCATATGTAGATGTGCCCCTCTTTTGTTGATCTTAATTTATTTATTTTTCTTAGTTTATGTTTAGTCCAGATTTTCCTTATAGTGATTAGATGTCTTGGCATCTATGTATACATTTTCTTTAGTATGAACTGATAGGTTGTTAAAGTTGTGCTAAGGTCACCTCTTTCTTGTTTAATTTTCTCTTTTCCAAGTGAGG